GATCGGGATCGAGCTTGGCTTCTTCATTGTCAGGCCCGTTTTCCTATTTGGGCCAAGGACGATTTTTGGCCCTAACATTGACCTTGGGTCAACCAAAAAAATCCAATCTATTGACTAATCAATATTAAAATAAAAACAAAGAAATAAATAATAAATTAACAAAAATAAGAAGAGAAAATTGACAAAAATGTGAGCCTCACTATTTACATTGGATGGTTTACATATATATACAACCAGAAGAAAATCCTTTGGTAAATAATACAATTATTTATCCCCTGGTTTTGGCCTTTTGGGGTTTACTACTGTTCAAATCTTGTAGTTTAAACGATTATGATAGACCCCATGATTCTAACACGTGAACTCATGTGAGGGTAGAATGAGTAATTCAGTCATACAGATAAGGAAAAAACAGGCAACTCACTTATAATTTACTTATCCTTGGATAAAAAAGTGTTGTTTCGCAATTGGAATTTGATTAAGAGTAGTTAATTTGAGGAGGCATTTCCTAATATTTGAAAGATCATGATCTTGAAAATTGTACCAAAACCTCAAGGTGGATTAAGTATTTCTCTTGTTAAACAATTGATTAGATTCTTTTGAATTCAAAAACCCCAAAACCATATAATTACCAAAAAAAAAAAAAAAGAAAAAAAAAACACGAATATGAAGGCAACTTGGCTTATGGTTTTGTTTGTATTATTAATCTTTCGACAAGAAAAGAGTATTCAATTTAAAGGGTGTTTGTCTAAGCTTATAAGCTAGTCAAATTAGTTTATAAACTCTAAAATTAAGTTGACCTGTTTGTTTATAATTTTTTTTAGTTTATAAGTTGTGTTTATAAAAAAAAAAAAAAAAAATTACTCACATTATCCTTGTTTATTTTATGATTCCATAGTATACCCTTATTTATGCTAGTACCTTTTTTAGTTATTTTATAATAAAATATACTTATAAGCCATATTTTACCAAACCACATCACATTTATCAGTCCTTATAAATACTTTAACCAAACACATAATTGCTTAAAATTAAATGCTTATAAGCTCAAATTAGCTTATAAGCACTTGTTGCTTATAAGCTAATTTTCATAAGCTCAGACAACACCCTTTTGATAATTCATCCTAATTTCTTATTCATAAATCTTATAAAGACCAAAACCCCTACTTTAGTTAGAGAAAATATACTAGATTAGAAGAGAAATATACTTTTAAAGTGAAATGTTTATATATTTATAGTGAAAAGTTGATAATAATCGCAAAGTTAATGATACTAATCCCCCAAGACTTGATTCAATAATAAATACTCTTAACATTAAGTTGTAAGTATTAATATAAAGGTTGGAAGGAGTAAATATTTATTAACTCATATAGTATAAATTTAAGTTTTAACTAATTCAGTGGCATGAGGAGTTTTATTGTTTCAAAAACCTCAGAATTTATTTTTGTTATTACATCAAACTTCAAAAGGATCGATCATTTAACTATATATTCAATCTAGAAATGTTTGTTTCATATTGTATTATAACATCATCATACTTATCATAAATCAACAATTTTTACTATTTTTGGTTGTTAATATATTTAAAAAAATATTTAATCAAAATAAATGATTTTTATACATAAAATCAAACGAAAACGCTATGAAACAAACCCATATAAACATACAAACACACCCACTATACAAAAAAATCATATAATCCCTGGTTAGCAAGAGGGGCATTTTCGTCTTTATATAATTATATGATACTAGACCTGGTCAAACAAGTGTTTATTAAACCCTCAGAAAATTACAAGATACCCCAAAACTTCTTAAAATCTAGTTCACCCCTTGCATGTGAATATAATAACTAGTGTCACTGCCAGACTTCCTCCTCCTCCTCTGCTAATAAAGATGAATTTCAAACTGAAGCCGCTTCCTTCTTCTTCTTCTTCTTCTTCATCTTTCGCTCATTATTCTGCATTTGCTTCATTGTTTCTTCATCTTACAAGAATCAACTGCTCAAACTGCCACTACTGATCCTATTGAAGGTACATTCTCTTACTCTTCTTTTTTAACCCAAAAAAAGAAAAAAACACTTAGCAAAAGTAATTCTCAAAAGTGCTTTTTGATTGCTGAACAAGCTTACTTGCTGTATATCAAGAAACTGTTTTTTTTTTTTTTTTAAATAATTTTTTGGGTATTTTATTGTTGATTATTTATCTGTTATTTTCCTTTCACAAAAGAGCAGATATTTACCATGGCTGGTTGATTAGGAAGAAGATTTTATTGTTGAAAGTTTTAAACAAATTGTCACATATATTACCTTGTGTGACCTACAACCAAAAGCAAACCACAAATTTGATTATTCTAGAGATAATAATATACCCTTCTAATTCAATATGTTTGAAGGTCCTAAAATCTTCAATATAGATATTTTATATTTGGAGGTCCTAAGATCTTCAATATAGATTTTCATAAAATTTAGGTGAGAGTTTATGATGTTTGGTGGGAGAGAAAATGAGAGAAAGCTGAAGAAACACAAGATGAGAGAAAAATGTTATTTCTATTAATTAAACCTAAATCTCCTGTGAAGTTACAATTGGTATGTACTCCTATTAACACCATAAGCATATGCCGGAAATGGTATTTATTGATGCTTAATTTTGATACTAACGACTTACACATGTAAAGTACTAAGCGGACTTAAAAATTGCACGTGATATAAAAATATGTAACGAAAGAATAAATAAGAAGCCGTTTTTAAAGTGTTTCGGATGCTCAAATGCAAATCTTACATTCACTGTAGTTGTATTAATAGGTGCTTACAGTCAGATCGCGTACATCGAGCTAAATTACAATCAAGAGAGAGTATATATATATATATATATGGAGAGAGAGAGAGAGAGAGAGAGAGAGTATGCTTTTGACGGCTAAATATGAGCCAATCCCGTAAATGAGAGAGGAATCCTCTATTTATAGTTGGGGGATTCAAGTAGTAATTATGATTCTACAGTCGGGCAAGTGTGGTACAATTCCTAACCCGCTTTCTATTGGTTGTCTGCATAGAAGACATCTTTAAATCGCATAGGGCTTGGGCAGATGGACAATTCCCAACCACTCACAAGCCTGATATTCACCTGTTACACTGACAATAGCCTTACCTCTTCCGTTCTTGTGCGACGTGGCAGTGTCTAGACAATATAAAATCTTCTTGAACTCTGATTGGCCCTTGCTAGCGGGAGCTCACGTCAACCTTGATTTTTCAGGCATAACAGTATTAATTTGCTAAGTTAATATGAACAAAATTATTAAAAAGATCGTCAATAGAGGTAAAGTAATTTAGAAACAGATAACTAGCATTCAAAAAGTTCCCAATTAACTGTAATTTGTCATTAAATTTAATAAAAAAAACTTAATTATTCTTCAACCAAACTGAGGAAAAACAAAAACTAACAAGAAAACAAGCCCAACACCAAGCCCAATTCTTGTCGCTACTGATTCAACCAAACTGGAAAAATGGTTGGTGTTGAAAGCATGTGTGTTTGTTCAATGCGTGCTGGATTTGTATAATAATTGAAAGGACGTCATGGTTAATCGTCATCTTATTTGCATCGCTCATAAAATTACAGAATGTTGTTATCAACATTTTTGTATGTATTATCAAGTCGGGTGGACTAAAATACTATTGATAGGAACTAAAACGTTACTAAAAAGTTATACTGGACTACATAGTACTTAGATCAAATCTTAAAATTTATTAAAAATTTCTCCAAGATTAAAGGTTTAACTTAAGAAATTTGAAGGATAACAGAAAGAATCTATAAGATTCTCTGCCATTTGGTCCGCTCGGCTGGTGTAGGAAGCTGTGTGAGGGGTGTGACGGATTGGATGGGTAGGTTGCGGCGGGTGGGACGGGGTGTGGTTGCCAGAACGGTGTGCTACGACTGGAAGGTAGGGGGAATGGGTGGGTCTACGACCGCTGAAGGTGGTGGCAACGGGTGGGAGTGCGGCTGCTGGAGGTGGGCAAAATGGGTGGGGTTCGACGGGTGGGGATTTTCTGAATATTTTGTAACTTCAGTTCTTTTTTAATCAGTTTTAGAATATACATAGTATCTTTTAACATTGAACGTTAGATTTGAAATTTATAGCTTTAATGAATTTGTGTTGTTAATATTTAAGTTTGCGTGCATTGCTATCAACTAGTTCTGAAAGTATTTATTGGTTTGGTTTGGTGTTGTGGACAGTGAAGGCATTGAATTCAATATTTCAAAAATGGGGTGTACTCGCACCACCGGGATTATGGAACATAAGTGGAGAGCCATGTACTGGAACTAAATGGGAAGACCACGCTGTTTCCATCGTTTGTAACTGTAGCTATAACAATAATTCAACCTGCCATATTACCCACTTGTAAGCTCTCTTTCTCTCACCAAATCTTGGAAAATTTCATTTTTGAGTTGTTTCAGTTTGCTAAAAATACATGCAAATCATTTAAGTTCCGAAAATTCTTTGATATTGTGGTAACCTTCCCTAGTTTATGTGTCTTTTATCTAAGCCAAAACAGTGCAATTCTGATCAGGTCAAATTTTAGGAGAGATGAATGAAATTTTGCCTTTAAATTGCTAATAGAATTGGATTTTGTGTCAATTAGTCAAATATGGTACTCCTGTCTGACTCTGGCTTAGAGAAGTTTGAAGCTGAGATTTTTTTATTTGTTTTTTTGGGGTTGAGCGATGCTGTAAGCCAATACTTTGACCCAACCAAATTGCTACTTGAATAACTTCATGACTTGCAAATGCTGGCTGGAGAAACACAGCTACAGATGATTGGTTTTGGTACCCCAGAATTATAAAAAATTTACAACATAAAACTTTGAAGATTTGTGGAAATAAAATTGGGAAATTAAACAATAAAATATTCTTATCTTGTTAGTAAAGTTAATGGCTTCATAGAAAAAAAAAAGGAAAACATCATTTCTGGACAAAGCATTTAATGAGGTATTTTACTTTTCAGGAGAGTATTTGCACAGGACAGCACTGGAGTGATTCCAGTAGAACTAACATCTTTGCAATATCTCACACATATGTATGGATTCCTTTTCATTTCCCAAATTTGATTCATATATATGAACTTTGACCTTTATCATTTTCAAATTAATGGACAAACATTTTATTTTACTTATTCATCATGATGAGAGATTTTGATTTGATAATCTTTCCATTTTGAACTTTGTAGAGTAATTGATCAAAATTACATGTCTGGCACCTTGCCTGCTTTTATTGGAAATTTAACTCGGTTGACATATTTGTAAGTATTTAAGGATACCTTTATAATTGGAAGTGTTTACTTGACCTTGGTTTTCTTTTTGGCATAGTTTTGATTATATGTCATTTGGATAAATGACTTTGGATTTTGCTGCTAATTCTTGTTTGGTGGGTCTTTGCCTCTTTGTGTATTATTGTCTTCTTGTGTCCAGGTCAATGGGTCACAATGAATTTTCAGGGTCTCTCCCAAAGGAGCTTGGAAACCTTAAGGAGTTAAATTTTCTGTAAGATTGGAATACTTTCTCCTTTTTCTTCTTTTCCAGTGACAGCTAGATTGAGTTAAAGTCTATACAATTATTTTTATGAAAAGAAAGCATAAATAATAATCATATTCTAGATGGACATGCTATTGTCTATATTAAGGCCATTGTTTAGAGTGGCTGATGCAGACTCAAGAAAAGAAGTTCTATTGTTGCTATTATATATATTTTAAGTTAGGAATTTACAGATATTACTTGCTTTAAGTTATATTTAGCATTCTTATATTAGATTTTTATATGTGAAAGAATGTGACTTGTTAAAGGTAGATTTCCAGTTTCTGTTCTATTTAGGCTATTATAAATGTGGACCGATTAAAGCAAGAATATGATGTACGTGTTTTCTTCTCTCTAGTTTCTTCTTGCTCTTCTTATATCTTTTTTCTTCTTCTCAGTAGTACTTTGTAAAAATTTTATTCTATTTCTCACTGATCTCTTTGTTTCAATCTAATCTCTATCTCCTCTGGACAACTATATCATGGTAAATGTATCCAGTCTGACAGTAAAAGAGTTGGTTTTTGTTAATTAAATGGATTACGATTAGCACTCTTCATGCTAGAAAAAAAAAAAAAATGAAAGTCTTAAGATAGAAAAGTTTTCTATGACTCAATGTGCCACAAAGTATGTAAGAAAAACTGAGTCACAGTTAAAGCCATTGTTTGCATTGTACATAACTTGAAATTACATTCATCCGTAAAGCCCCTTGAAAACTGAATTGATCATGAGAGAATTATGAGCACTCATCTAGCATGATGTATTCACACACAATGGTGATCACTGAAGTGTTATATTCTTCTGATATATGTCATGAAGAGCTATAGGTTCTAACAATTTCTCTGGAACACTACCTCCAGAATTGGGTAACTTAGCCAAACTAGATCAACTGTATGTTCCAACTTCTTTGTTTGAATATTTTTATTTATTTATTTTTTAAAAACAGCATTGATTTTCACACCAGATACTCAGGTCTTATGAAATTATGAATTTTTTTATTGTGAATTTAACAGTTACATGGATTGTTCTGGAGTGGGTGGTGAGATTCCCTCAACATTTGCTAATCTTCAAAATATGCTAATTATGTAAGGAAGATCCCTATCTACCTATGGCATTCTGTTTCTTCTCTGCTTGGAGATTACCTTTGTGTCTGAACTAGTCTTACAATTGATGATTTTTAAATTTCAGGTGGGCATTTGATTGTCCTCTATCAGGCAAAATACCTGATTTCATTGGGAATTGGACCAAGCTTATAGCGCTGTAATATATAAAAAACTTATTTAAAGATATTAAAAATGTGTAACATGAATTATTGCAAAAGTTATATTTCGCTATGCCTAAATTTTAGCATTCTGATTTTTTTGTTGACTAGTCTGTCGAATTTTTCTGTAGGAGATTTGGAGGAAACACTTTTCAAGGTCCTATACCATCCAGCTTTTATAACTTGTCCTCGTTGACTGTCTTGTGAGTGTATCCTAAATAACACTACACATACCAACTCTCCCTATAAACTATCTAGTACTAACTCATGTGGCATGACGTGATTGAAGAAATAAAAATTAAAAATAATTAAATCGTTTTAAGTACATGATGTAACAATCATGTAATACCATATCAGTTCACATAAAAAAGTTTATATATATATATAATAGGTTCGAGAGCACTTCCAAATGTATTAATATTTATATTAATCTTCACACTTATAACTTTCTCCTCCTCTCTTCGGAAAGATGGCTCGTATCATTGATGTTTGAATTAATTGTGTAGGCAGATCACTGATATATACAGCGGGAGCTCCTCTCTTGATTTTATAAGAAATATGACGAAGTTAACTGAATTGTAAGTTACACATACTCCATTCAGTTATACACATATCTAACTTGGATTTTCTAATTGTCTTCTCAGCTGATTCATTTTGACAGTAATTAATCATTTTTATCTCCCTTAGATCTCTAAGAAATGCTTTGATCATCGGTAACATTCCATCTAACATTGGAGAATATCTAATGTTAAAGACTCTGTAAGTTAATACCAGCAACTAAACCTCAATTTGTACTCTTTTGAGTGTTTGTCTTTCTTTTTAAATCATCTTTTTTCTCTTTCTGCAGGGACTTGAGTTTCAACCACTTAACTGGTCAAATCACTAGTGCTTTGTTTAGTATTGATGCTCTTACTAACTTGTAATTCTTTTGACATTTCTCTCCATCAATTTCAAGATTTGAGTACCTAGGTTACTTTTTTATGTTAGATTTTGGTCTGAGCCTTATTCTTTCATTTAATATACATATATTTTCTCATTGCTTCTCTTGTACTCTGGTCAGGTTTGTCGGAAACAATAGTCTGTCAGGACCTCTTCCTTTGCAAAAAGGTGTAAAACTTCAAACCATGTAAGCCTTCATTCAGCAGTATTTTGTCACACTGAACATCGTGGTTATTACATTCAGTTATGTTGTGAAATTATGCCTAAATCTGTTTCAACAAAATGAAATCATTCCTCTTTCTCTCTCTATGTATAAATACATGTGAGTTTGTGTTGCTGCATGCCTGACGCGGTATATGCATCTCTTCCTATTATATCATGTTCAATTAGATAAATTTTATACGCGTGTTTTTGTTGTATCTGCCTTGAAATTTGTAGAGGCTCCAGTCTTGAGGAACTTTTGGTGCTAAACTCAGAATAAGTAGATTAATTAGAAAATGATAGAAATAGTTGCATTTCAATTCTCATGGGACTTCCTTTCATATCCTACAAAAGATGCTGTAGGTTATACTTCTAGATTTTCTGACGTGGTACATGTTTCTAAGTGTTTTCTAGAGAATTGTTTCCCAACCCTTTGTCACTTTTGAGGTGGGAAATGGCAAAGACACTTGTTTTTGGGAAGATAAATGTTTTGGGGATTTTAGCTTGGATCAATGTGGCCTCTTCTTTATAGATTGACCCATAATAAGAGAGTCAAAGTTTATGCCTATCTTGACTCTTCTTCCCCACATGGAAGCTGGAACTTAAATTTAAAAAGAAATCTGAAGGAATGAGAGATTGAAGAATTCACAAAGCTTATGGGGCTGCTTGACAATGCTTCCATTTATGAGTCAAGAGAAGATAAGAGGAAATGGAAGCTTGATTCCTCAGGCTACACTTGTAAATCCTACTTTCAGAAGTTATGTGAAGAAAGCTTAACACTTGAATTTAAACATTGCAACTCAATATGGAAGGCAAAAATTCCTCCCAAATTTCAATTTTTTGCATGGATTTTGGTTCAAGTACAGCTGACATCATCCAATTAAAGTATCATCAAGTGTGTCTCTCCCCTCATTGGTGTGTTATGTGCAAGAATAATGCAGAATCCTCTGACCATTTGTTCCTCCACTGCCCAATGGCTTCACGATTATGGGCAAAAGTTTGTAGTGAAACCAATTTCCATTGGGTTACTCCATGATCTTGTTATGAGTTACTTATGGAGAACTCTACTTTCTTTGGTAAAGGAAAAAAGGCCAAGACTCACAATAATTGTGTGATTCTTGCACTTTTGTGGGTTATTTGGGTGAAAGAAATAGAATGATCTTTGAAGACGGTGGGGAAGAAGAAACTGAATTTTATGGGATAAGATCAAGTTCTTGGCATCTCTTTGGACTTTGAGGATACCTCTTTTTTCTTTATCCATCTTAAGTGGTTAGCAGTAATAAGATAATTCTGGTTTTTAGGACTTGTCCTTGCCATGGTATCTCTCTTTTTTGGGTTTCTTTTTACACAGGCTCTTGATACTACTTGTAAAGATTTAGCCCCTTTTTAGATGGGCTACTTTTGTAGGAGTGGATTTCTGATCTACTTTCTATGTTTTTTTCATTAATATACATTTCTATGTTTCCTATCAAAAAAAAAAAATCACTAATTTAGTTAATATGTATTTTTTATATTAACCACATTTTGATATGCATGTTCATGAGTATGAATATAGCAACTGTACACACATATCTCTAGTTTCATCTTCTTAAATGCTTGCAATTGAACCATGACGATTACGTTGTGTATGTCTACTTAGAAGTTGAGATTTAAAATTAAAAAAAAAAAAAGCAGAATTAAAAAGGCAGTTTTCCTATAGATATTTATTTTTGAATTAGGCCACTGAATTATCATACGTGTCACTCAGAACTTTTTCATACAAGGTTTTCTATAAATGTAGTCAATCCATTTCTTCTAATTCCATACAATCATGGTTTTGGCCAATTTGATTTGACAACTAATTGATAAAAGCAATCGAATTCTTTACTGACTTGTTTCTTAGTCAGATATATATGTTTTCTACTCACTGGTGTTTGTCATACTATTTCTTGCAGAGATTTATCTTACAACTATCTATCAGGAACTTTTCCCTCGTGGGTGACTACTGTTGGAATGCTGTATGTCTCTCAAACCATGATAATTCCTTTGTCTGTCTTCATTTTAGTAGGCATTGTGAAGCTCGCATGAACTCTCTTCCTTGTTTCTTTAATTTATAATAGTTCACATGATTGCACAAAAGAGTTGATGAAAAAATTTATGACCATCAGGCCAATTAAAAAGAAAAGCAGATGACATTATGGGAATCTATTGAGCACCCATCTTCATGGCCAATACTTATCACTGCTGGTAACCCAGTGTCCCTTCCTTTTTGGCACTCAAAAGAAATAATACCATGGGACTGAATAATGCCTGTCTAATGCCTTGATGTGCTTTAATTTCCATTCGCAAAGAAAGATCACTCAGAAAAACCATTTGGCATTCCATGAAGGCATAGCTCATTTCTGATGTCTTTGTAATGTAGTCAACTATTCCTCAAATTATGGTTCACTATATTTTAAAAATGTCAAACATCCTTGCATCTCTTACTAGAATGCCTCAAACTTTTACATATAATTGATCATTTCAATCAATTGTATAGGAATTTAGTTGGCAACAACTTCACATTTGACAGCTCAAACAGCAGGTGAGTAATAATTTCCTTTGTAATAATAATAATAATAAAAATGATCAGATTTTGCTTTGCGAAAAAGGTTCTCGCTTAAAGAAGAGAAGACAAGTAGTATAAAAACTCCTCAACAGAACATGCTGCTTTTTGAATTTTCAATAAAGATGACCAGTAATGTTCTCTGTACTTGCCAGTCTTGTTCCTGGATTGAACTGCCTCCAGAGAAATTTCCACTGCAATAATAATTCTCCTCGCTGTAAGCTGCTTTTTAGTTCCTTCTGTATTATTTACTGTACTTCCATATTACCTTTTTCTTTCTGGATTATTTTCCTTAGTGTAGATGCTGCTGTTTCTATGTAGATGTAAACATTGATATGGTTGATGATTAGTAAAAGAGGTTCAAAGAAATTTCATAAGATAAAGGTTTAATAAAGCTCTTGCTCAGTGAATGCGTTAAGTTGGTTTCGATAGGAAACTTAGATATGTCTAACTACTGTGAAAAAAACTTATATGGTGGATCAGTTATCCACTACTACAAAAATAACCCATCTAAAAAGATTAATTAAGAGATAGGTTCAATAAACCGTTGATGTTGAGGGCAAAACTGTTTTAGACCCCACAAAGTGCAAAAATTACCAAGACACCTCCTGCCGTTTGTTTTTGGTGTTAAAGTTCATAGAGAGGAGGGTAAAATAGACATTTCAAAATTAGTAGAATACGAAATAATTTTTTTTAATTTTATTAAAAAAATGAAAGTAAAATAAGGAAAAGGAATTTGAAAATGTTTAAATTGCAAAATAATTTGTAGAAAGCTAAAAAAAGATAGAATTTTTTTACTAAAATTTATGAAAAAATTATAATAAATGTTATTTTTTTTTATATATCTATATAAATATACATATTTGTGGGGATTACTCATGGTATTTTTTTTTTTTTTTTCTTTTAATAAGATTTTAGATTAAGGGTTTTTTTTTGAGTTAAATATTTGGGATTTTAGGTTTAGGTTTGTATTGCTTTAGGATTTTTTTTTTAATTTTTATTAATTATTTTACCTTTTTATTTAAAAATGAGTTCTTTTATTTTTTTTTTAATGAAATTAAGCGTAGAATAGTCAAGTCTGAAATATAACTATGAGCAAATTCTAATTCTATTGGTCAAATCAGTCTAACTCTCACATTTTACAGAAAATCTAACATAAGGGGACAGTGCGGTAGTCTTTCGCTTTTTGTGGGGTCTAAATATTAGTTTTGGGAGTTTCAAGAGGTGCAGTTGGCATTTACCCTAAATTAGTATATTCATTTTGACCTCTGGGGTCTAAGTGTTAGTTTTGCGAGTTTCAAGAGGTGCAATTGGCATTTAGCCTAAATTAGTATATACATTTTGACCTAAAAGGTTTAATATACCTATTGACCTTTACAAGAAAAATGAACAGTTGGAATCCTAGCTTCAGGGGTTGGGTTCAGTGGTTAAGACCCTTGACTTCCAAACAAGAGTGCTAAGTTTATGCTTATATGCTATTAGTTTCTGAAGTGCCAAGGTTGGAGGATTTGATGTTAACCTCCGGTTTCAAACTCAAGGATCATATAGGAGAGGCCAAGGGATATCTGGGTATCAAACCCCCCACCCCCCACCAAAAAAAAAAAAAAGAAAAAAGAAAAAAGAAAAAAGAACAGTTAGAAACCATGCATTGGCAATGAACTTTCAAGTAAAAACCTGTCCTTCAACCTCCATGTCTGAAAAATTAATGTATTGCCATCTGTTTTAGTTTTATTTATCCAGAATGATTGTATTACTTAGTTGAATACTTGTACTCCATGAATTTTGTCTGAATCTTTGCTGTAGGAAATTCGGATCAATGTTGTCATTAAAGCTTTTATCTTTGCGTTTGCAGATTCAAGGTTAGCAATCAAGTGTGGTGGTAAGCAGTCGAGAGTTGGCAATACAGTTTATGAGGACGATAACATTGATGGAGCTTCTTTTGGTGTATTTAATTTAGAAAAATGGGCACTTAGTAATATGGGTTTGTTTTCTGAAGGACGATTTAGAACACTTATTCAAAATGAGGGCTCAAAAGTGATTAACACCACAACCCCAGATCTTTATCAGACTTCAAGACAGTCACCTGGGTCACTTAGATATTATGGACTTGGTCTTGAGAATGGGCCTTACAATGTTAGCTTGTTCTTTGCTGAAATAGTTTATGAAGATCGAGCCTCAAGAAAATGGGAGAGTCTTGGAAGGCGTGTCTTTGACATCTATATTCAGGTAAACATTGTGTACCCTTATTATCTGCAGATTCTATTATTTCAATTCCATCTATTTAGTTTTACACTGAGAATCTCATCATTGATCCTATAGGGCACTCTTTGTTTGAAGGATTTTGATATATCAAAGGAAGCAGATGGGGTTAGAAGAGAAATTAGGAGGAGCTTTAATGCTACTGTGTCTGATAAACATCTTGAAATTCACCTATTTTGGGCTAGTAAAGGGACCTGCTGCGTGCCTGCCGCAGGTAGTTATGGACCATTAATTTCAGCTCTTAGTGTCACTCCAGGTAAACTATGTGATTTCATTGAATCTTCTTTTTAGATGAACTACTATAGATGTGCCAATATTCTTCTTGCTGATACTTATAACTGAATTTTACTGCTCAGGTTTTCCACCAACTGTTGATATTGAACAAACTGTTAATATTGAACGAAAGAAGAACCAGACTGGGTTGATTGTTGGTATTGCAGTCACGCTTGCAATTTTGGGGTTCATACTGATATTTTTAGTTTTCTATACGAGGATGAAAAGAGAAAACAATGATGCGGAAGGTAAGAGCACCCTAGATTATTGTAGTCATAAAATCTCTGCTACCATGTTTCTTGTAAAGATTTTTGTAAGAGAAAACAATTTTGGGGTTTACACAAGATTTTTTGGACACCTAGTCCACCTCTGTATCTTTATTCTCTTTCTCAATATAGTGGTGTTTTTTTTATCAAAAGAGGAAAAAAGCCGGTGTGGGAGTGGGTATTCCATAACATAGGCAAAGCTGCTGCTGTATTGTATCTCTTGTACTACAAGTCCTTCAATGTTTTGTAATCTAATGTCTTGCCTCAATACATAGTGCTACTTGGAATGGGACCTAAGCCAAAATCTTTCACTTATCTTGAGTTGGCATCTGCAACAAAAGACTTTGACCCTTCAAATAAGCTAGGAGAGGGAGGGTTTGGACCTGTGTACAAGGTAACTTTGTCTTACATTTACAAGTTACTACCTATAGATATTGGGAACTTCGTCTGTGATGGATTATATATTATGCAGCCATAGCTAGAAAATATAACAGGAAAACTAGGTTGAATTTAGCTTTCAGATTTTCACGATGGAGCAGATATAATTTATGTTATGAAATCTGGTGTTACAGGGTATGCTTTCTGATGGAAGGGTGATAGCTGTGAAGCAACTTTCACTAGGATCCAACCAGGGGAAAGATCAGTTTACTAATGAGATCACTACCATAACTGCAGTGCAACATCGCAATCTTGTGAAATTGCATGGATGCTGCATCGAAGGAACTAGACACCTCCTTGTTTATGAATATCATGAAAACAAAAGCCTCGATCAAGTATTGTTTGGTATGAGGATGCTGATGTTTAATAATCAACCTTAGTTTTATATTTTTCTACCTTGGTTTTCTTGCCAACAACTGAAACATTAATGCATGTGGTTTCTCTCCTATGATCTCGGTCAGTTATTGACTACAAGTCTTGCTGTACCGAAATCAATTTTTATGACTAAAATATTTTAACCGAAACTAAGTTTAAAGAATGAAATATTCATCTTGCTTGAAATATGCATTTTGTGAATCATAATGATGATGACTCTGAACAAGGTAGAGAACTACAAAATTAGCTAGCTAAACTTCTAAGAACAAGCAACAGGTTTTCATAGAGCTGATTGATAATACTTTAATGAGCTCCAAATCATTCCTGGACATACATTATTCCTGAATCCTCAATTTTCCGCTCCAATAACTCTGGAAGTTCTTAAAGATTTTGCCAATTTTTCTGCAGGAAATAGGGAGTTACATCTCGATTGGCCTACCCGGTTTAATATATGCTTGGGAACCGCAAGAGGTCTAGCATATCTTCATGAGGAGTCAAGGCCAAAAATTGTGCATCGAGACATCAAAGCAAGTAATATTTTACTTGATACAGAACTTTGCCCCAAGATATCAGATTTTGGATTGGCAAAGCTATTTGATGATAAGAAAACTCACATCAGCACAGGGGTTGCAGGGACCATGTAAGCTCTTTCAATCATTTCTTGATTACCATTCTTCCTAATTGCTTCGTTTGGAATGTGCTGCAGAGTGAACATGATGTAATTTATACACGATATCATGGTAGTTACCATCAATACCAAGCAGATTTGTATAACGACAACCAAATAATAATTATATACTGTTTGAAGAGTTTATTAACAGTTGAGAGTACTTCTTGTGTCTTTCTTGATAGTCACCCAGTCATAGATGCTAGAATAATTTGATAGAAGTAGATGTATGATGCTATTACTTTGTATTTATGTAAGATTTTCTAAATTCAAAATGCATTCACATTGTGAAGGCATGGGCGCATAGTATGTGCCTTACTGTCAAACTCAGTTTGACAACAATCTAATATGTCCAGACAGACTCTTGATTTTAACCTTTACAAACACTTAATTGTCTTGTAGCGGCTATCTAGCACCGGAGTATGCAATGCTTGGGCACCTGACGGAGAAGGTTGATGTATTCAGTTTTGGTGTTGTTGCTTTGGAGATTATCAGTGGAAGAGCAAACTCTAGTACTAACTTGGATAGGGAAAAGATTTATCTTCTCAAATGGGTAATGAAAATAAACTTGAATTTTGATTTGTTTTGGTTGATTTTTAATTGTCTACATGCTATTTCTAGGCCTGGAGTCTTCATGAAAGTAACCAAAGTTTGGGGCTGATAGATCCCACATTAACAGAGTTCAATGAAATCGAAGCTTTAAGAGTAATAGGAGTGGCTCTCTTGTGCACTCAAGCATCACCAATGTTACGGCCACCAATGTCTCGTGTTGTGAACATGCTTGCTAGAGATAGAGAAATTGGACCTGTTACTTCGAAGCCAAGTTATTTGACTGATTGGGATTTTAAGGATACAACAAACAGCTTTATGAAGGGAGATATTGTTACAACCTCATCGAAAAGAAGTTACATTGGAAAGAATAGCCAATACGACAATGCAACTGATCTTTGCCCTAAAGTTGACCCGTTGCTCTGTCCAGTAAATGCCAGTCAGCTCAGTGACATAATTGCAGATGGGAGGTGAGAAATTTCTTCACTCAATGAAACTGAGAGAATAATACTGCTTCTGGCTTTTGTGCTGCCAAAGACAGTCCATACAACTAATTAAACTTATTGATGTTGGCAGCATTATAGAACGCCAAACTGTTTTAGGAAGTATAATGTTTTGTAGTTATCCTCATATAATTTTAGATGATGAATTTGAAGACCATCATGCTAGATGTGTAGAGATAAAAATTCACAATATTTATTATTATTATTATTATTTTGTGTGTGTAATATCTTATCTGCCACTTACTTAGAACTTGGAGATATGGCAAGTTTGAGGTTTCAAAACTCTATATATAATTCCTGATTTGGGTTCTTTATTCTGCAAGGGATTATTTTTGGTCTTTCTGTTCTTATTATTATTATTATTTATTTATTTATTAAAACATCTCAGTTTTAATTAAATTAATTTAGGTTGACTTGACTTGACTCAATGAAAGCCCACTTTGAGAAGGAAATTCCACTAAATGAAAAATGTTTAATTTTTTTGTATCAATCAATCAATATATATTAAAATTTACAACAATCACATGAATTTGGTTAGTTGTTGCTAAATGTTGTCACATGTATATAAAATGAATGAATACATTTTGATTTAAGTCCAAGTAAAACCAAGTTTTTTCAAATATCATTAAAAAAAACTAATTGCTTGTTTACGAGACAAAAAGAAAACCCTTTTTAGGTTAAATTTATAACAAGATATAATTAAAACATTATCAAGAAAAAGAAGTGATTAAAAAAAAAAAAAAAAAAAAAAAACTGATAACATGACAGTGCAATATTAGAAAGTAAAGCTAGTTTTACTCACATTTTTGTTTTATACGGCTATCTTTATAAGTATACTCCGTGGTTGTCAATAAAATTGAATCTTCCACATCAAAAAATAAAGCTAGTTTGCATTTATTATTTATCTTGTTATTAATATTATATGAAACAACAAATTGGAAGTCTACAATTTAAAACACTATATCGAGAAGATGATATAGCATATTTTTTAAAGGCAAAACAAGCTACACAATATCTTCAATTAGTAAATTTAGAAAACACTTTTAGATGAAGTAGAGAGAGAACTGAAACACTACATGCTATTACACTTTTTTCATAGAAACCTAGTTCACTGGGCTGATATGCTATTGTGCTTTTTCATAACAACTTTTATAAGATAAATGTTAATAATAATGTTTTATTTACAACTGAGTCATACAATCACATAAAAATTATATAAAATTCATAAAAAATGACTATTTTATCTTTTATTTTTTGTCTAGTTGTATTACTCATTTTTATAATTCAGTTATAAACATAACATTGTTCAAAATGTTAATCTTATAAGGAAACATAATGGCTTTGTATATTATTTCGTTGCCCATACAAATCAATAACATTAAAAAGCCACATGTCAAAAGCATGGTCATGTGTCATCAATTTGTATGGTGCATAGCCACATATTTTATAACATTCTCTTTAATCCCCACACCACTTTCCAACTTACTACAAATAATTGTATTTCTTTTTTAAATGTAGCATTTTAATGTCAAGGGTCCTTTTTCTTTTTTTTTAACGGAGTCTTCGAGTCAGTTTGCACGTATCTCAATTAATTCTCGGGGATCCATTGAACACCCTACAAGTCCAATGAGGTAAATAAATCACAAATGTGATAGGTCACCACTTGGTGAGACTCAAACACAAAACATTTGGGTGATCTGAGGTCTTGCCATCTGGCCACAAGCCAAGTGGTTAGATCAAGTGTCTATTGATTTGTATGGGTGGTGGATTAGTATATAAAAACCCTTTGTATTAGTAAGATTAACACTAACAATCTAAACTAGGTTTTTATGAAAGAAATGCAATAGCATCTTAAGCCTCCAATTCTCTCTGATAATGTCTTTTAAATTCACTGGTCGAAGACGTTGTGCAACTTGTTTTGTCCATAGATGGTAAGTCTATTCATCTTCTTGATTGAGAGCTTTGAATTGTAGACTTGTAATATCGAAATCTTCAAGAATACAATACTGCAAGATAGTTGTCGACTACAAACAAGACGTATTGTACATTTTAGACGTAAATTTGATATTATCACAACAATATTGAAAGCATCATTTTCAGAGATATTTAGAACTAATTATGTGCTTCTCAGTTGCTGAAAATGCAAAGATAATTTTTTTTATATATTTATACATACTAATAAAATATAATTAAAATTAAAGTTTAAAGTAATATTTCCCCTAAAGTTTCATTGAATAAATATTTCCCCTTCAAGCTTTTGAAATAACAATTTACTCCATTCCATCAATGTTCTTTACTAGTAATTACAATGAAGGTCCCCAACCCCTTCTCCATCATCATCGCTAGAAATTGTCAACCCTAATCATGAATGAGATGAGTTCAACAAGTTAAGTATTGTAAGTGGAATTTAAAGTAACATGACATTTATGATCAGACTATTTTGATGACTGCCATGGTGGCCCTAAATTACGTTCTGTTTTGGTGGAGGGAAATAGGTGTAGGCTATGATAGTCATGCTGTGTGCTTCTTTGCGTGGAATGGGCGCATTTTGGCAAGCATGATAATGGTTGGACCAGCAGCTTGTGTTTGAGTTTCTGTTTTGCTAAGGCCTTGTTTTTCACTGGACTTAGCGTTAAATGGATTATATATCCTCTTGTTATCTTGGCCTTTTTGTGGTCTGTCCAAAGTTTTTTTCCCTTGAAAGGGAGTTCTCCTTCGTTGTATTTTTTTAATTCTTAAAAAGAAAAAAAGTAACATGACATTATTGTAAGTATTGAAAAGATTCCAATGGATATGAGAATAATTTAATGAATGCTTTAGTTTGGCAGTGTTATGGACCACTTTAGTTAAGTTCTTGAAATATTGTACATGATTACATAACATTGTTGTGATCAAATTAGAGTTAATATTGTTGTAACTAACCAAATTAAACAGACAAACAACTAAACACACAATCGCAAGAAATCAAGAACAAACACATCACGAATTTTTACAATGGTTCACTTATCCAAATTGGATAGGCCACGTCCACGTTAAGCTTTGGAAATGGGAGAGCTCGTTGTACTACTTATTAAATCAAGATCCAAACAAGAACAACTACAATCGAGATCAAACTCTTATCAATTTACAAGAAAAATATCTTAGTAACTAACCCCAGAGAAACTCACTAGGAATCCCTAAGAACAAGAGCAAAAACTCTCCTGATTGACTAAATAATTACCCAATCAACCCCAAGTTACAAAGATTTCCCCAAATCGACTAAACCCTAACAAAGAGCAAGTAGATTCTTTCAGTAGAGGCAAATATCAGGATAGAGAGAATTCTGACTGTTCATACACTTATATACCGTTGACCCATTGACGATTTTCTTATTAGTCTATTATTTATGTTTCTGCAATATATATAATCTCAGCACCATATTCAAATCTCATGGATCTATCACGTGTAATTTCTAAGACTCTCTTTGTACTTTGCACGTGCGAGTCATTGGTGTCCAAAATTAAGCATCAACAAGCTTATTGATAGAAGTGTTGATGGCTTGAACTTGATGCTACTTAATATATCAAACATTTACATGTGGTCATTCTGTGCCAACACTTGTCCCCTTTAAGGCATGATGTAGAAGGCATCTTGATTCAGTGCCAATGTTCAATACTATTGATACTGCTAATATACTGTTGATCTTCCTAAATTTATTAACTATATGAATTTCTTGTAAAAAATAAATACGCAAATCAATAAATGTATCCCCTCAGCTCCATAGCATTTGATGTCTTATATTAAATTCTACTGATTCATTTTGTTGAGCATACATCATCCTTATGTGCATTTTAAGACTTCTTGCATGTCGACATGAATTATTAGATAGTCCTAAACATAGTAAATTAAAGTCCTATAGCAACGACTCTACGACAGTGAAATAGGAAGTTTTTCTTTCATTGATCACAAATGGCTTCATTCTTGGTCCATATAGTGATATGCTCATAACCCGAAAACCCCAGATTGGACTAGATTGGAACCAGCGGCCCATGATGAGTGTCTAGTAAAAGGTAAAAATTAAACTGGAGGCTCTTTCTAATTTCAGTTCAAGCTTAATACTGTGGATTCCTATATTTTAATCCAACTCTTTGTGATTTCATGGGATGATTTGTGCTTTTGACATTCCACATAGGTACTAGATAGAGAAAGACAATTTGGGTTATGTTACAAGCTTCACGTTTCTTTTACCAAGTAAATGCACTTTGGGTGAAAGAAGCTTGGGTAAAGTCCATAACGAGTTAGCTTGTTTGGTTTGCCCAAGTTGTTACAGTAGGTGGGGAGTACAGCTTTGGCCCTCGAGACACAATTTTCAATTTAGCCACAGATTGTATGTGTTGAGATATTATAGCTCGCTTTTCTATTTGTTCTCATGTGAAATTGTATGTCTTTAGGAAAATTATTTAGTAAAGAATACAATTGTAAATAGGAATAGAATTTAGGAGTCCTAATAGGAATTGAAATATGAATCCTATTAGAAATAGAATATCTCATATACTTCTTATAAATATAGGGGTCAGAACCAATTCAAGGTTATGAGAGAATAGCAGAATGTCAGAACACAAGGTATTTGATGTAAAAGTTATTAAACATCATGGAGATAGAGTCTTAGAAATTGTGATTGTTTCCATTCTAGTTACTAGGTTAAACGTGGTTAGAAACTATGATTGTTCCCGCTCTGTTTTATGTACCAGGTATCGTGTTCATTATAGTGGTTTTCTCTCATTTGTGGATGTAGGAGGGTTATGCTGAACCACGTAAATATCATGTCTCTTAGTGTAGAGTGATATTATTCCTATGTTATTTATCTCGAATGTATGTTTTCTGCTGTGCGATCTCCTAACAAGTGGTATCAGAGCTTTAACTATGGAGATAAGTTATTTCGAGATGGTGATGCACATAAGAGACAGACTACAACAAGTTTAAGTTTTAGGTGGAGTAGTTCTCAAATCTTGGTGGCAAAATTTGGCATGGTTACTATGCAACTTGGATCGATGCTAGCAAAATTGAACAGAATTACTCTACAACTTGGATGTCGTGATGGTGTAGCGTTATCTTCATCATGTTCATTGTTGTGATGGAAAACTCTCACATTTATTCCTGTGATGGATAACTCTCACGTTCATCGCTTTGATGGAAAACTCGCCAAGGTGAAGATTGTTGGGATATTGTGGCTCACTTTCCTATTTGTTCCCTTGTAAAATTGTTTTTCATTTATGAATACAATTAGGAATAGGAATATAATTGTATGAGGAATTAAAATAAAATTCCTATTAGGATATAGTATTTGAGTCCCATTAGGAATAGTATCTCATGTATTATCTATAAAAAAGTGTTAAGTCCTAGAGTTAGAGACAACAAAAGAATAGAAGGCAAAGCCACAATTAGAGAATGAAAGCCATCAAATAGGGTTTAGTGTGTGAGGCTTGAGAGATTCTTGTAATTTTTCTTTTCCTTCAACGTGAAATTCCGCAGTGGTAAAGTGGACATATCTCTCATACAGAGAGCGAACTATTATAAATCTTGTGTTTGTGTGTGATTATTTTTTTATTTTTTTGTCATTTATTCGCATTATATTTGTTTTCAAGGATTTACTATTTGTTGGTATCTAATTAAACCCCCACAATAATTGGTATCAGAGCTCTAAGTTGTGACCTTGGGAGATAAGTTATTTCGAGATGATGGATGCACATAAGAGACAAAATACAAGAAGTTTAAGTTATAGGTGGAGTGATTCTCAAATCTTGACGGCAAAATTTGGCATGGTTAGTGTGTGACCTGCATGTTAGCAAAATTGGACAAAGTTACTCTGTGTCTTGGATACCGTGATGGTGGAGCATTGTCTTCGTCATGTTAATCGCTGTGATGGAATTATGAAAAAAGAAATAGAAATAGTACAAAATTGATGAAGCCAAAAGGTACAAGCAACAAGCATAGCATCCATGAAAGGAGAAGATGATATGTTGATTTATTAGCTTAATTTAATTAACCTAAAATGTAATTTCAATACCTAGAAATTTGTCTATAATTCTGAAGGAACTCAACAAAATTGTCTGCATATTGATTCTAAAGTTCCTTATCAACAATTATAATCCTCATTTGCTTGGCTTTATCCCTGTAAACTCTTCCTTCTTCTTCAACTATCACCATCCTCTATGTCTCCGCCACCGACTTCCTCGTATACACCACCTCTTCTTCATTTCTCTCTATTTCTATCCCCGCTTTCTTCTCTGCAAAAACTCTTGAAACTAACCCATGATCCATCACAAAAGGTAGCAAAACCAATGGATGCCCATAATTGAGTGCCTCGATAATCGAGTTTAGCCTACAATGAGTCAAGAACGCTCCCACCGATTCATGAGATAATATCTTCAGTTGAGGTGCCCAACTCGTCCACACCACTCCGCGGCCCTCGACTCTCTCCTCGAACCCATCCGGAAGCTCCACCGGATTGTGCTGCTTTCTCAGACACCAAAGGAAGGGTAACCCGGATAGCTCTAGCCCTCGAGCCAACTCAGTGAGGTCTTCTTGACTCGGATTTATCTCGCTTCCTAAAGCTACATAAACCACATAACCTGTTTTTTTGTTTGTCTAGCCACTCGCTGATTATAAGCCAGGAATTGTACTCAGTTACATTCTCTCTGTTATCTTTATCCGAGGGCGGTAATAGGCCGACGAATACAATTGGTTTACCATTAAGCTCTCCCATGAGGTTTAACCATTCCGATTCTAGCTCCGTGCAGCTCTTAATAGCTATCTCATCACAACCAGCTATCGCCGATCCCAAACGAAACAAGTCGCTCACTCCCGAATCGTCTTCTTTAAGATGAACGAACACTTTCTTCGCCTCGTGGAGGCGAAATGCTATGTCGGAACGAAACGGTACCCACTTGGGAGGAACAGTGTAATCTTCCGGCTTAGTCCTTGGATCCTCTCCGTTGATCATTGCGGTTGTTGATGATCCGAAGAAACATATTGACCAAGCTGGGAAGATACTGAAGTAGGCGCAGGAGATGCCAAGATTAGCAGCTATTGGTGGTAACCAATAAGAGAAGACATCGTAAATGTTCCAATCAGGAGTACAAGTTTGTAGAAACTGAGTTAAAGACTCCTGGTGTTTATCTTGATGGGGTAAAGTGAGTGAACTTTGAGGTATTGAACTTTGGAAAATGGCAAGTCAGTGGTGGCTTCTGCGTCTTGAGGGAGATTATCTTGATGGGGTAAAGTGAGGGACACGAAGTTCATGAATGGTGATAAATTTGAAGGGATTTTTGGCAAGCGTTCGATGTTTTTAGGAGTTGATATGAAAAAGACTTCGTGATCCTTTCCAGCAATGTGCTTGGCTAACTCAAAGAAGGGGAGCATGTGACCAAAGGCTAGCCATGGAAACATGGTTAAGTGAAGCTTTTTAGGCGTAGCCATGGAACTCAAGCTGGAGGTGTTTTTTATTTTTTCGTCGAGAGAGATGGCAATGGTGTTTTGGGTCATCAATTTCACTTATTCGGGCGATAACAGCAAGGCCCCTTCTAAGATATTTGATAAACATGTGGGTTTTTCAACCTTAATTGATTGACACTTGGTCATCCATTTTACACTTATCAATTAAGGTAATCAATTATTATTGAACTCAACTATGGAAGAAAACGAACTCATTTTTTATGGAAGAAAACGAACTCATTTTATTCGTAAGAAAATTATTCAAAGATTAAATAAAAATTAAACTAAAACATTAATAGAAATTCGTAACAAAAATTAATAAAATTTAAACTACTTAATGCAGTCCACTATTTCTCATAAATAATAGGTGGGGATAAATTATAAGAGTTAAAGGACACGTTCCCACCCAAAAAATGGCTCATTGACAAATTCATACCCACCTACTTTTTAAATATCATTTTACCACTCACAATAGAAATCCTGTTAACAGTTTATGTTAAAAACATATATTTTCATTGTAAATATGAAAATGCCCTTAATTGTTTGACTGTAATTTTTTTTTTTTTTTTTATCATATGTGAGTGAAATACAATGTACCCCAATTTTAATTATAAAATTATTGAGATACCCCCATCTTTTAACAATAATTGAATTACTAATTTGTCCCAAATTTTTTTAACAAATGAGTAACAGTCAGATTATGAAAAATTAACACAAATGAAATTACTATTTCGTCCGTGTATGTGGTGCGTATTGAGTAGATATTTATATTACATTTACTTTGTCAATTAAGATTGCAAAATCACAATGCATTTTAGTCACCCTAAACCCAATAAAATTTGGAAATGTTTTCATTAGACCTATTCAACCTGCAAACATGCAATAATAACAGTAAAAGCATAATGTTTTTAAAAGAGGAGAATATAAAGTTTGGGTAAAAATAACTTCTGTTGTAAACACAACAATTCTGATTCAATATTATCAAAGCAAATTCATAACAATCTTGATTCGATATTATCAAAACAAATTCATTCTCCAGTATATAACATAAAAAATGAGCAAAATGTGATCAGTTGAAAACCTGCCATTGGTGGCAAAGATGGTTATACCGCTGTTTAGAATTTCCACTAAAAAACCTGTGACAATGACAAAGAAGAGGAAAAAAACCAATTTAGGGTGCAACCACAATAACGAGAAAAAAACCAATTTATGGTGCAGCCACAATAAGAAGTAATCAACATCATACCAAAGCAGAGCAACAAGTACCACAAACAACTTGTGACAATGATAATAAAGAAGGGAAAAAAAAAACAGTTTAGGGTGCAACCACAAGAATAAGTAATCAACATCAGACCAAAACACATTGTGTTCACAGTATATAATTCTAATAATTTATTAAATGAAATATCTAATACCTTAAGCCAGTAATATATGCAAAAACCCAGCAAGTACAATTAAATTCATTACAAAGTTACACTATTGATGGGCCCATATTTTACAAACCCCAAACAGGTTTATTTTGGGGCTTCAAACTGATATTGGGCCCAGATTTTACACAATTCAAACAGGTTTAGTTCAGGGCTTTAAACTGTTTTGGGCCTAGAATTTTCAGACCCTTCAAACATGCTATTCTCAGTTAAATGAAAAGTAAATATAAACCATAACTGAACTCGGCAGTTAGAATGTCAACAAACACCAATCCAACCTCATGCAACAGAACATTCAAACCATGAATTCAATCCCTAAATGTAAAGTAAATTTATGCATTCACGCAAAAGGTTTACAAATGCTAAAAAAAGGGTACAACAATCAAAGCATGAGATACCCACATTATTAGGATGCGAAGCAATTCCACTCACAGACGATTCTTGTCTCTTCCAACTATGTTTTCTAACCCACCTACAGGAAAAATTAACAACCAAATCATCAACCATACCACACACACACATATACATCAGTGTAAATTTAATGTCAATTATCAATTATTCTCTTCCTCACATAAACTTACATAACCAGTTTTCTAACCACTTCCACCAGCAGACTTACAATTACAACAATAATAAAAATACTTTCTGAAAACTATGTATATAAATTGCATAATCAATCATCATCTACTGGAATGCAAAGTCAATACTGATGAAGGTTTTGGGCATGATGAGAAGCCATAATTATTGAGGAAAACAACATGGGAAAGTTCATGAGCATTTCTTTTTCAAAACAAAGAGATGAGGGAACTTTTTATTGGATATTTCAACATCTTTTACTTGGTTCACAGCAGCTGACAAAACAGAAATTTTAACGAATAAAGAAAATGAACAACAAATGTGCAGTCAGAATCATCTTTTTAAATACAACAAATAAAAAAATCAATTTCCCACAAACTATAGGAGACATTTGTAACTATTACTAAAATGGACCCACAACCAAAATCAATCACAAAAACAAATAAAATAAGAAAACTTCATGTGAAATTCATTATTTTAAAAGAAATAATAATAATTTTTTTGCCATTTCATATCGTGAAAACTAACAATTCTTTGTCTTTAATCCTTCCCAAAACATGGCGACTTTGTTGCATGCCTCACCATAAAAACGTAAAAGCTGAAAAAATGATATTCCCAAAACCGAAGCATAACACAGACCTCAGAAGTCTCAACGATGATCAGCTGTTTCACTCGAAGTCGCCTATCAAACTTGTCATTCGACGGAAAATCTTCACAATAACAGCACTAATTGTCAACACCCTGAATGAACACTAAACGCGACAATCGCCAACAACCAATCCAACCCATTAGTGTAAATCGCCGTTAACAATCACCGATCACCGTAAAAATTGCAAGAACGTAGTCGACCTTTATTAAACGAAAACCCAACAGTCAACTCTTCCAAGATACGCAAAAGTAAAATGACTTTTGCTTTTCTTTTTTTGTCAACTTCCTTGGACATGTGTCATTGGCCCAGCCTATGATTCCCCATATGCAATTTGTAAATGAGTAAACGACATATTCCCACCCAAGGTTTGAAGAAATCCCAAGTTAGTACCATTGGTTCCATTTATTTCAGATTCTTATCCTTAAAGTAACAGTGTTATGAATTTTTAAGGTTTAGAGGGTGTAATTACCATAATGCCCTTAACCCTAAATTAATAAATTATGTTTTAACCCCTAAATTAGTAGAATTACAAACTTACCATTTTATTTTCAAATTATATCAAAAACACCCTCGATTACTATACACCCTCGTCGGAAACAGCCTGATCTGGGCTGTTTCCGACGACGTCGAACCCCCTGGTCACCTCCATCACCTTCCCCATAGTTCGTCGTCCAAAACCCCTCTGGTTCCCGACTCATTTGCCCCTCTAATCGTCGGCCCCGTTAGGCTTAGGGTTTCGGTGTTCTTCACCGGATTCCAATCGATTCCAACGGTAAAAATCCAATTGGACACCACCAATGCAACCACCGTCTCCAAATCTATAAAACCCCTATGTCCCCAGCAACCGTTTCGTCGTCATTCGCTGGCCGAGAGTTCGTGTTCATCGGCCGTTTTTCGTTGCTGTGGCTGACGATCAGCGAGTGATGAAGGGTTGTGAATGGTATGGTTTTGTAGAGAGGAGAATGTGGGTTCAAATGGTGGTGACAAGGGTGATTTTTGGTGGAAGAATCGTCGGAAAAGAGCGAAAAACGTCAAGAACGACGACTGCTAATGTGCGCCGGAAGACTGTTAGAGGCGGTGGTCTGCTAACGTGCGCCGCCCATGTAAAATGACCAATTTACCCCTTTACCGTTACATCAAACGTTTTCTCGTCACTTTAAGGGTAGGAATTTGGAATAAATGGAACCAATGGTACCAACTTGGGATTTCGTCAAAGCTTGGGTGGGAATATGTTGTTTACTCTTTTTAAATTTTGATTTCCTAAGCAAAATGTCAATTGGTCATTTTACCTTTTCTTACAAATGATTTATGACCATACTACCCTTTATCACAGTAAAAACTACTAACGGGATTCTGTTGTGAATGGTAAAATAGCATTTAAAAAGCGAGTGGGTGTGAATTTGTCAATTAACCATTTTTCAGGTGGGAACATGTCATTAACTCTAAATTATAATTAATGAAAACTTTAAACTAACCCTATAGGATTTGTAGAATTTGTTCATACTATAATTAGTTAATGAAATTAATAATATCACTAATAACGGATTATATTATAGAAATATTTTATGAATTATATTTGTAACAATGTAATAAAATTCAATAATACTACTCTTCTCTAACGCCCAAAATTTCACATATAAATATATAACATCTATAAAACATAGGTGCTATTTACTTGGTTGCAAAAATTATTCTTTTCATGTTGTGCATTTATTTTTGGAAAATGGTAGATGGTAATGGCACATTTTTTGTACTAGAACCGCCATCGATGGAACTAAATTGGAGGACCACATGCAACTGTACCTTTAACAATAATTCGACCTGCCTTATCAGTCAATTGTATGCTCTCCTTCTCTTTACGGAACCTAGGAAATTTTGGTATGGAGTTGTTGTTTCAATTTTGTTAAAATACAGACAGATTATACCAATTTTGGAAAGAATCTTCATTTGAAATTTATATTATTGTAAATTTCTCCTTTGAAATTGTGGTCAACCTTTCCAGTTTTGATTTCCCTTATTTTACCTTGAAAGAAAGCCCGTATTTTTTATCTAAGCCAAAAGAGTGCAATTCTTATCAGGTCAAATTTTATGAGAGAAAATGAAATTTGCCACTACACCCACTATACATAAAAACTAAAACTGTTAGCAGGAAAGGGGTATTTTCGTATTTACATAGTTATATGATGACTAGACCTTGGTCAAGTATGATATATTTTCTGTTAAACCCCTTGAAAAATTACAATGTGCCCTGAAACTCCTTAAAAATAACCAGTTCACCCCCTCTTGCATGTGAATATAAATAACTAGTATCATTGACAGACTCCTTTTTCTCCTTCTCTCTTAAAAAATGACCAGGGAAAATGAGAGAAAGTTGAAGAAACACACAACGAGAGAGAAATGTTATTTCCTATTAATTAAACCTATGCCAGAAAAATATTATTAATTTGGTAAGTTAATAGGAAAAGATAATGAGCTTTAATAACAAAATTGTTAAAAAGATGGTCAATAGAGGCAAAGTAAAAATCCATAAAAGTTACAAGCATTCAAAAAATGATCTATTAATTGCAATTACATTTAATAGGAAACGAGAGCGAATCTAGGCCACCGTTCTAGCGTGGCTTGATATAGCCAATGACTGGCCTCTACTAGTTGCGCCATTGGCATGAGGAAAAGCCAATGACATTTATCTTATTTTATTTTTATTTTTTAAATTTAAAAAACAAAAATAAGTTTTTTTATTATGTTTGGTTTTTCTTATTTTCTTATTATTTTTAATAGTTAAACTTTAAAATCAAACAATTATTTTTTTAAATGTTTAACTTAATTTTTTTTTTTTTAGTTTTTAAATTTAAATTGAAAGACTAAAACCAAATAAGTAACTAAGGGTATCTAAATCGTTTTATTGTTTTCATTTAAAATTAAATTGAACAAAATTACTATTTAGTGTTCCTAAATTGTAAAAATTGAAATTAGTGTCTGTTTGTGCCTAATATGAACAAAGTTACTATTTAGTATTCCTAAGTTGAACAAATTGAAACTTTCGCTTTTTTAGTATATTTCATAAAAAAGTTGTACCTAAATTGATAATATCTCACCCTATAAATATAATTAACAAATTATGGTGACCAAAATGATTGGAACGATAACAATTACCTTCCTGAGATTTGGTTTAAGTAAAACTTTAATTTAGTATAATTTTTTTAATAATTTTGGACCCTGAGATTTGGATTTGATTTTTGTAGATAATGGATTGGATTATGGAGTATCCAATCCATAAATTTTAATATGCATGTTTAATCTAATTTTTGTATTTTTTTATCAAGTTTTCAAGTTCTCATATTAATTCTTTGTATTGTAAGCCCAAGTAAGCGGTCAAACTACAAAATTTCCTTCATACTAAATTGTATTCTATTAAGTGTTTGATAAATATTTAAAAATATGTTATAATATTAAGTATTAGTGGCTGCCGATCAACCACTATTGACCGATGGTCAATGCCGGTCAAAAGTGGCTCGTTGGCATCACCTTCGGCCTAGTTTGGATCAAACTTCTCCAATCTACAAGAATATGGTTGAATCACTGGATTTTGACACTTATTTTGGTTGTAGAAGGCATTGAAATATTCCAACACCTTTTGTAGCCAAAATCAATGTCAGAATCCAGTGATTCGACCAGATTCCATAAGATCGGTTTGTTCCAGCCTTAATGGGATTAGATTTGACACTAATGGGCCACTTTTGGCCGGCAGTGACTTGCCATTGACCCACAGTTAACCGCTGTTAATGGTGTCAATAGTCATTGTCATTTCAAATTTTATTTTTAATTTATAAAAAAAATTATGAAATTATTTATTCAATGTATTGAATGTTTATTTAAGTTCTTTTTGTAATATGAAGAATTGTATGTAGATAATAGATAATGGATTGAATATTGAATATCCATAATCCATTTCAATCCATTTTGATTAATATGGATTCTATCCATATTGACCCATTTCATATATGGATCCAATCCAAGTTGGTCCGATGGAGGGATATCCAATCCATTGGATATTTTTGCCATCACCAAATGAGTGAAGAGGAGAGTTGTAACTTGTAATTTGTTATGAAAAATGAGTGCAAATGATAAAAACAATTAAATTTAAGAAACTCTTGTAGTAATTAGATTTCATTTGTTAGGGTATTTTCGTCTTAATATATATGTATTTTTTTTTTTTTTTTTTTTTTTTTCAAGAAGCTAGGTCGGACGACAGCCCAGTCTAGCCTCTTTATGTAGCTCCATTTTTTGAATGCATAGAGAAAATTTTATTTATTAGCCCCATTATTAATTAAATTTATCAGAAAATTAATCTATAATAGGTATTACGGTTAATTCCAAAATTACCCATATTTTCCGACCGATTGCTGCTGGCGGTTATCAGAACCGTCGAAGGCGGCCAGTCTATTACCATCGCCGTCACTGTTGGGTAGATCTCAGGTCGTCTATCCAACGGTAAAAACAGGGGAGCCATTGTTGATGGCATTTGGCCGGAAAAGTGGGAAACGTTTCCCGCTTTTTCGGTCAAACGCCGTCGACGACGGCTTCAACTCTATCAACAATCAATCACATCACCGGCAATTAATCAACAATCAATCACAGCCAAACTGCATCACCATTCCCCCCTGCAGCGAAATGCACCAACGGCAGCCGGCCACTATCCCCTCCTCTTCCACAACCTCCGTAACCACCACCTGCCGCCGGCCCGGTGCGATTCAGGCTGGAAACCTTTTTGACACCGTTCAGTTATATCTATCTTTTTAGTTTCTATTTTTTATCTCAGCTGATTAATTTTGACACCGCTCAATCTTTTCTATCCCCATAGATCTCTGAGAAATGCTCTGATCAATGGTAGCGTTCCTTCTGACATTGGAGAATATAAAAGTTTACATACACTGTAAGTTAGTTTTGTAATGGTATGAGTGTGTATTTTATTGTTTATGCGTGTGCGTGCTTTTTTTAAATATATATATTTTTTCTCCTTCTGAAGGGATTTGCGTTTCAACAACTTAATTGGTCAAATGCCAAGTGCTTTGTTCAGTGTCGATTCTCTTACTCACTTGTAAATTTATTGAAAGCTTCTCTCTACTGATTCTAGATTTTTGAGTACTTTATATTTAAGTTAGTTTTAGTTTCTAGTTTTAGATTTTCTCTGATCCTAATTCTTTCATTATATGTACATTCATTTGTTTTTTGCTTCTCTGGTTTGGTTTCTTGGAAACAAATGTCTATCAGGAACCCTTCCTCAGCAAAAAGCTGTATATCTTGAAAACGTGTAAGCCTTAATTTCAGTTATCTTGAGAATTATGCCCTATTATATCTTGTCTGGTTAGGTAGTGATGTTATACGTCCATTTTTGCTGTATCTGCCTTGAAAGTTTTAGAGGCTCAAATTTAGAAGAGTGGAGAGGTATTGGTGCCAAATGCTTCACGAATAGATTAAGAAGAAAAAGAAAGATAAATATCTTCATACAAAGATTTTTCCATGGAAAATGAAAAAAAAATGAAAAATGCGCTACTGCTACAGATATGTATCATGAACCCCATTTAAAATTTAAAAATCTTAACTATAGTTGTAACCACTTTCTTGTGACAATTAATTGATGAAAGCAAATGAAAATCTTAACTGATTTGTTCCCTTTTTGGAATTTTATGTTAGTGCATGATTCCTTCTAACTGGTGCTTAATGTACTCCTGCAAAGATTTATCTTAAAATTATCTATCGGGAACTTTTTCAAGGTGGGTGACTACAGGTTCACAACAGCTGTATGTCATTTGAACCATAATAGCTTATTTTCCATCTTCATTTTCTAGAAATCAAACATTGCTTTGGACCTTAGGCGCTGTGGAGCTCAATAACCCTCTTTCCTTGTTTTGTTAATAGATTATAATGCTTTACATGATTGTATGAATTAGTCAATAATAAAATTTACGACAATCATGCCAATTCAAGAGAAAAGCAGATGACAGTGTGAGAATTTGTTGATTATTCATCTTCAACACTTACCCCTTTAGTGACTCAGTTTTCTCTTATCATGTGACAATGATCAGAATTACTTAACAGCGACCTACTAATTGCCTTGATGAGCTTGAATTTCAATGTCCAATCAAATGTCACTTGGAATAACCATTTGGTGTACCATAAAGTCATAGCTCATTTCTGATGTCATTCTAACATAGTTGATTAGTTGTCATGTTATAATTTTAATATAAGACATCTCTAGTCAGTATACTTCAAACTTTGAAGTATAATTGATCTTTGCATTGAATTGAACAGGAATCTAGGGGCCAACAATTTCACATTTGACAGCTCAAACATCAGGTTAGTGATAGTTCCTTTTTTGATAACTAAGGTATCAGATTTGTTTTTGAAAAAAGGCTCTTGCATAAAGAAAAAATTACTAGAAATATAAAACCTCAACAATGGAATATGCTACTTTAAGAAGATAACCAGTAAGGTTCTCTGTGCTTGCCAGTATTCTCCCTGGACTGAACTCTCTGCAGAGAAACTTCCCCTGCACTAAATGCTCCGTGCTGTAAGCATCTTTCTTTCTGCTGTATAATTATTTTTCTAAAATTTAGCATACTACCAATTACCTTTCTCCCTGTATTATTTTGCTTAAATATAGTATTGCTGTGGCTTTATAAATTGTTTATTAATTCAGCTCCAGTTAGGATAACTGGACCAAATTGATAGCATAGTGTATTTTTGCAACTGCAGATTCAAGTTTTGCAATCAAGTGTGGTGGTGAAGAAATGAAAGTTGATAGCATAGTGTATGAGGATCGATAGCTATGATCTTGGTGGAGCTTCTTTTATTGTATTTGATGCGGAAAAATGGGCAATTAGTGATGCGGGTTTGTTTTCTGATGGACAATTTAGCACTCATGTTCAAAATATCGGCTTGCAAGTGACTGGCACTGCAGCCCCGAAGTTTTATCAGTCTTCAATGCAATCCCTGGGATCACTTAGATACCATGGACTTAGTCTGGAGAATGGACATTACAATGTAAGCTTGTCCTTTGCTGAGACCGTTTTTGGTGATCAAGGCCCACAAACGTGGACGAGTCTTGGAAGGTGTGTTTTTGATATCTATATTCGGGTAAACATTCACTGGAAAGTTATGGTTCATACGCTAATTATATATCTATATTTTTACTATTACAATTTCATCTGTTTTCTTTCATTATTCATCCTGTAGGGAACTGTCCAGCTAAAAATTTTTGACATATCAAAGGAAGTGTGTGGGAAAAGCAATTACGAAGGAATTTTATGCTAAGGTGTCTGCGAACTACCTTAAAATTCACCTATTTTGGGTTGGTAAAGGGACCTGTTGCATACCTGATCGAGGTAGTTACGGTCCATTAGTTTCAGCTCTTTTGTCATTCCAGGTAATTATTTGATTCCTTTGAATCTTCATTTAAGATAAGAGTTACAATAAATGTGCTTATATGCTTCTTTCTGGTTTACATTTAACTGAATTAACTTCTCGGATTTCATTCCAACTGTTGCTATTGCACATAAGAAGAACCAGACTGGGCTCATTGTTGGTATTTTAGTAGCTCTCGGAATTTCGAGCTGATACTGATATTTTTAACTTTTTACATGAGGACAAAAAGCACAATGACGATGCGGAAGGTAAGAGAGCCCAAGAGATTTTTAAATTAAAATAGTTGAAGTATCAGGAACCAAGTTGTTCAAGAAAGTTTATGAATTTGCATTCACTTGGGCACAAAGTTAAGGTTCTCTGGGCATTTGAGAAAAGTAGATTCCAGAGAAGTAAGAATTTGTCCTAGTGCAACTGAGTTTGTTCTGAAATAGGCAAAGCTGCTGGTGTAATCATCACTTGTCGTGCAAATCCTCAATGTTATGTAATCTTGCTTTGATATGCAGTGTACTGGAATAGGACCTGAACTCAAAACTTTCAGTTATGCCTAGTTGAGACCTGCAACATAAGACTTCGCACCTCCAAATAAGCTTGGCAAGGGAGGATTTGGACCTGTGTACAAGGTAACTTTGTATCTTACATTTACATTTTTGATTTACAAGTTACAAACAATGTTTAGCACAAAGGAACTTGGGTTGCAATGTTGTATTGAAATGCATTATCAAGTTTACCATATTAACAAGAAAACTAGGTGAATTTCAGCTTTTGGATACTCACCAAAGATGTAGCATATATAATTTATGTCTATAAATCTGGTGCTACAGTTTGATTTCTGAGGAAGGGTTACAGCTGTGAAGCACTTTCTCTAGGATCCCTCCAAGGGTAAAACAGTTTGTTAGAGATGCTACATAACTTCAGTGCAACATTGCAATCTTGTGAAATTGGATGGTCGCTGCATTGAGGGAACTAGGCTCCTCTTTTTTTATGAGTACCTTGAAAACAAGCCTTGATAAGTATTGTTGGTATGAGGATGCTAATTGATGATCAACTTTAGTTTAAAATTTTACTTTGCTTTTTGCAAGCAACTGCAATGTTAATGCATGTGATTTCTCTCCTATGATTTGCTTCCAGTATAAACAATAAATCTTTAGTACAAAATACTATTTGCTGACTTTCAAATGTTTTAACCAGTCAAGGTTTAAAGAAAACATATCTGTTCTCTATGTAAATTGTGTTTAGTTATATATATATATATAGAAAAAACTGCAAGTTTAATGGGCAAATAGAGCACAAACGGGTTTGAGCTGATTGTAAAAGTTTTATTGAGCTCCAAATTGTTTATGGGGATAAATTGTCCATGAATCCTCAGTTATCCATATCAATAACTCTTGAAGTCTTAATGATTGCAGCCATGTTTCTGCAGGAAGAAGGGAATTGCATTCAATTGGCCTACCCGGTTCAATATATGCTGGGAACTGCAATATGTCTAGCATGTCTTCATGAGGATTCTAGGCCAAAGATGTACATCAAGACGTCAAGGCAAGCAATATTTTACTCGATGCAGAACTCGCCAAAGATATCAGATTTTGGATTGGGCAAGTTGTATGAGAGCAGAAAAACTCACACTCGCGCAGAGTTGCAGGGACCATGTAAGCTCCTTCAATCATTCTTGACTACCATTCTTCCTTAATACTCCTTTAGAATGTGCTGCAGAGTATTTCAAAACTCTAGTGGATTTTGTTGTGAGTATTTCAAAGTGCTCACATGCTCAACATAAATGTATTGATGAGAAGACTATGAGAGCAATAATGTATGTTGAGAAACTTTTGTGTCATCTTTGATAATGATGTAATTGTTTTGTATTAGGAAAGATTTGCTAACTTATAAAGCTTTTCACTTTGTAAAGGCAAGTGGGCGCCTGGAATAGGGCTGATTATTGAATCCAGTTTGAGAGCAATCTATATACCGAAGCTTTTCTTTTGGATTTAACCTTGGAAACACATTTTCTTGCAGTGGCTATCGACACCAAAGTATGGAAAGCTTGGACTTGAAAGAAAAGGCTGATGTATCCAGTTTGGTGTTGTTGCTTTGGAGATTATCAGTGGAAGGGCAAACTCTGAGACTAACCTGGATAGGGAAAGATTTATCTTCTTGAATGGGCACTTTTACCATTTTTTTTTTTAATGCTTTCTTCTAGATCCTAGTGTTAAAAAATCTTATTCCTTGAATTGTCTCTATGGTATTTGTAGGCCTGGAGTCTTCATGAAAGTAACCGAAGTTTGGGGCTGATAAATTCCCAATTATCTGAGTTCAATGAAATTGGCACTGTACAAGTAATAGGAGTTGCACTCTTGTGCACTAATTGTCACCAATGTTACTGCTACCAATGTCACGCGTGTAACAGCTTGCTGGAGACATCGAAGTGGAAACTGGTGCTTCAAAGCCAAGTATTTGATGATAAGGATTATAAGGACATAAAAAATAGCCTTTTGAACAAAGATACTGTTACATCCTCATCGACAAGAAATTATAGCAGAAAGAAGAGCCAATGTGGCAGTGTAACTGTTCTTAGCCCTGGAGTGATCCATTGCTCTCCAGAATAAGCCCTGGGTTCAGGGACATAATTGCAGAGGGGAGGTGAGAAAATTTCTTTACTCACTGAAACTGAGTGAATAACACCGCTCCTTGTATACCACAACTATTAATTGCACAGTGAATTTGAAGACCATCATATTAGATGTATATAGAGAAACCTCTGTATAGTTCTTCTGCAACAAGCTTGTTTGGAATCTCTTTGGAATTTCTGGATATTGGAAGTTTCAGCAGTATGTATAATTTTGGGAAATTGGCTATACAGGGGTAAGAATAAGCAATCGACAGAAGTTTTGTAATATGTGTAGTTTAAGATGTGATTTTTGTGGCATGGAATGTCATATTTGTAACGTTTCAAATATTTTTCATTTGAATTTAACCGTCAATGTGACAAATATGGATTTATTGTATATGCAGCTTGAAGGTACTAAGGTTTGGATATAGTTGTATAAAAGTTTCATAACTATATAACTCAAGGATATACTTGCTGATTTGGGATCTTTATATGCTTTTCTTAGATTTTAAGTATTTACATTCAAAATCAGGTTAATGCTCATATAGTCCTGAGAGATCATTTATTCAGTCGGCGACGATACTTACTGTTCTCTATAATAATATGTGGCACTACAAAATTAATAGATCAATGTTTAATGGCATGATTTAAAAAAAAAAAAAAAAAAAAAAAAAAAGAACCGAATAACATTTTCTTATGTTTCGTGAAACAACGATTCCACCTTTAGTTTGTAATCTAATATGTGCCACCCAACCTGACTCTCCGTCCACAAAATTATAACTTGACCAGGTTTGACTGTTTAAAATTCCAAAATTATTCTTATTTATTCATTATTTTCAAAAGAGTAAACGACATGTTCCCACCCAAGGTTTGACGAAATCCCAAGTTAGTACTACTGGTTTCATTTATTCCAGATTCCCACCCTTAAAGGACGGAAAAACGTTGATGTAACGTAAGGGGTAAATGGTCATTTTACATGGGCGGCGCACGTTAGCAGACCACCGCCTCTAACAGTCCTCCGGCGCACGTTAGCAGCCGTCGTTCTCGACGTTTTTCGCTCTTTTTCGGCGATTCTTCCACAAAATCACCCTAGTCACCACCATTGAACCCCCATCCTCCCTCTACAAAACCATACCATTCACAACCCCTCATCACTCGCAATCTCCGGCCACGGCAATGAAAACGGCCGATGAACACGAACTCTCGGCCGGCGAATGACGACGAAACGGTTGCTGGGGACATAGGGGTTATAGATTGGGGACGGTGGTTGCATTGGTGGTGTCCAATTGGATTTTCACCGCGGAATCGACCGGAATCCGGTGGATAGCACGCAACCCCACAAACACCGAAACCCTAAGCCTAACGGTGCCGGCAATTGGATGGGTAAATGAGTCGGGAACCAGAGGGGTTTTGGACGACGGACTACGGGGAAGGTGATGGAGGTGACCAGGGGGTTCGACGTCTTCGGAAACAGCCCAGATCGGGCTGTTTCCGGTGAGGGTGTATAGTGACCGAGGGTGTTTTTGATATATTTTGAAAATAAAATAGTAAGTTTTGTAATACTACTATTTTAGGGGTTAAAACATAATTTTAATTAATTTAGGGTTAAGGGCATTATGGTAATTATACCCTCTAAACCCTAAAAATTCATAACATTGTTACTTTAAGGGTGTGAATCTGGAATAAATGAAATCAGTGGTACTAACTTGGGATTTCGTCAAACCTTGGGGTGGGAATATGTCGTTTACTCTTTTCAAAATAGCTAATTTTCTAAAATAAATTTCAAATTTAATGAAAAAACCTAAATAAAATAATTCACAATAGGAAAAGAAAAACTCCCTCCACAATCCAATACGTAAACCTCCAACACTACACAATCGGATCAAAACTCTTCAACCGAGAGTATTACAAGGTGGCAGTGGCAGTGGCAGAATCGCCGACAGCCAGAAGAAGTGGCGATGACGGGACGAGCAGAGGAGGTGAAGGCGACAACCAGAAAAGAAGGTATTGGTGGCCAAAGCCGGGAGGTCAGACAGCCTAGCCGTCATTTGACCTGGCTAGATGCGGTTGGGCTATGTGGCTGCCCGAACCGCGGCGGACTTGGTTTTTTTTTTTTTTTTTGTGAGTTTTAATTGATTTGACGTAGAAGAAAACTATAATTGAGAAGAAACGACATAAAAACCGTTCTTCGGTCAAGTTTAAAGGCCAAATGTGAAAAATGAGGGACAACTTCGTTATTGTTCGAAAACTTTTGGTGTCATCTTTGATAATGATGGAATTGCTTTGTATATATGTCAGATTTGCTAACTTATAAAGGTTTTCACATTGTAAAGGCTGTACCCAAACTTTACTTTTGGATTTTAACCTTGAGAAACCCTTTGCAGTGGCTATCTGGCACCGGAGTACGCAATGCGTGGACACTTGACAAAAAGGCTAATGTAT